TTCTAATAAATTTTTTGGTCACACTTTATTTTAAGGTCCAATTCACGCTATAACTAACTATTCACTTCTGCCTCAGTAAACACTTAGCCTAATTTGCTGCTTATTAATAGGCAGAGGCGGACAAAGTACTCAACTCCATTACTTGAGTGAAAGTACAGATACTGCTGGTGAAATATTACTCCATTACAAGTAAAAGTTGTAAAGACAGATTTTTACTTAAGTAAAAGTACAGAAGTACTTGCTTTTAAAAGTACTTAAGTACCAAAAGTAAATTTCCTTTTTTATGTCAATGCACTGTTTTATTGTTGTATGTAATACTTGCAATACTTAATAGTATACTTAATTTAACTGTATATAAAAATACACCTTGCTACGTGTACTGTGTTAGGCTAACCGAGAAAACATCAAATTTTCATTTTTGGGCGAACTATCCCTTTAACTGTGATATTCCGTTCAACATTTGATGTTACTTAAAAGGATAGTCCACCCAAAAATGAAAATGTCATATCTTAATGTCCTTCCAAACCTGGAATGGAGGCATGTTAGTAACCAAACAAAACAATAACACTGAGACATTTCTCAAAATCTCTCTCAAAACCCTCTGTAAGTACAAGGGTGTTTGTGAGCTGTGATGGTAAACTACAGCACTGGAACTGCCTTTGTGGTTGTCATGGTAACCAGCAGGAGGAGCAGTTGAAGAAGATTGTGATGGAAGCATAGTGAGGGCGTCTGCCATCATAAAACACAACTCCACTTCACAATAGGCTTACAGTTCTTCCTTTTATGGATGTAGAAGCTGCTGTTCAGTGAGAAGGAGGTTTAGAAATGCACATCAGTGTATTTTACTGTAATTGGACTGTTGAAAGGGCGAAGTAGATGTTGGATGATGAGTTGCTTGAAGAATGTACAGGATGTTCTGTGCATTTCTGCAGGAGACTGCAGAGGTAAATAATAAGCTGCTTACCGACAGAAATGAGAACGAAATTCTTGCCAAGACGTTGCAGTTGCTATGATGTTCTGAGTAATTTCTAGTGCACTGCTATGCACATATATATGGTGTTCTGGGTGATTATTAGGGTGTCAAATAAGCCCGACCTCAAAATATGATTCTGATTGCTCTATTGCTGGAATGTTTTTCACTCATTTTATCATCCACCAGATGGAAACCATGCATCCAACTGAATCTGATCACTTAGAATATGAATAGTATAGTGACATTGTCACGCCCCTGGACTTATTGTGTTGTGTTTTCCCTCCACATGTGTTCCGTGTACCCGTTAATTAGTTATTCCATGCACCTGTGTTTCTCCAATTATCCTGTGTTTATAAGCCATAGTCCATTCAGTTCATGTTTGTCGGAGATTGAACGTCTACCCATGTGTTTCCTGTGCACCTGTCTGCCCCGTGTATTCCCTTGGATGTTTGGCTTAATCCTATTGTTTTCGTGTACTCCTGGTCTCCTCGTTCCTCGCTCTGCGCTCCTCGCCATAGGCAAAGTGTGACAGAATCTCCGACCAAAATACAGTTACCTCCGTGTCTCCCCTCCGTTTTGTTTCCGTGTTTTTTTCTCTCAGTGTTTTTGTTTCCGTTGTGTGCCCGAATGGATCCCCTCCTTCGCCCCGAATTCATCCTCCTCCTGCTGGAGCAGGGGGAAAATTCGCTCGAGGGTCATACCAGACTGTTTCTGGCTGTTGCCCATCTCACCACATATCCGGACGACGCTCTTGCTACAGAGAGCGACAGAGCTGAGGATCGCCGCGGAGCCAGAGGCCGTGACGTCAGTCAAGGTGTGTGAGCCGGCAACAGCGCCTGCCACGAGGGAGAAAGCCACGGACGGTGTGGGCGCGGAGAGGAGCTCCGCCCCCTGCACCGCGGATGAGGGTGAGCTGAGTATGGCGCGGCAAAAGGGCCAAAACGAGGAGGGGAATCTCATAGACTGGGAGTCTGATCTGGAGATCGAACTGGCCCCTCTCCTCTCTCCATCTCCGCTGGTCCCGTCCAGCCCTCCTTCGTCCTTGGTTCCCTCATTGTGTTGTTTTCCCTCAACATGTGTTCCGTGTCCCCATTAATTAGTTATTCCATGCACCTGTGTTTCCCCAATTATCCTGTGTTTATAAGCTATAGTCCATTCAGTTCATGTTTGTCGGAGATTGAACGTCTACCCATGTGTTTCCTGTGCTCCTGTCTGCCCCGTGTATTCCCTTGGATGTTTGGATTAAACCTATTGTTTTCGTGTACTCCTGTTCTCCTCGTTCCTAGCTCTGGCAACAGCGCCTGCCACGAGGGAGAAAGCCAAGGACGGTGTGGGCGCGGAGAGGAGCTCCGCCCCCTGCACCGCGGATGAGGGTGAGCTGAGTATGGCGCGGCAAAAGGGCCAAAACGAGGAGGGGAATCTCATAGACTGGGAGTCTGATCTGGAGATCGAACTGGCCCCTCTCCTCTCTCCATCTCCGCTGGTCCCGTCCAGCCCTCCTTCGTCCTTGGTTCCCTCATTGTGTTGTTTTCCCTCAACATGTGTTCCGTGTCCCCATTAATTAGTTATTCCATGCACCTGTGTTTCCCCAATTATCCTGTGTTTATAAGCTATAGTCCATTCAGTTCATGTTTGTCGGAGATTGAACGTCTACCCATGTGTTTCCTGTGCTCCTGTCTGCCCCGTGTATTCCCTTGGATGTTTGGATTAAACCTATTGTTTTCGTGTACTCCTGGTCTCCTTGTTCCTCGCTCCACGCTCCTCGCCATAGGCAAAGTGTGACAGACATCTACTCAAGGCTGATTTTAATTTTTTTTTTCGTCAGTTTCAGTTAATATCATTGTTGTTATTGTTAACTTAAACTATGTTTTTTGTTCATTTAAATGAAGCCAAAATTGAATAAAACTTTAATATTAGACGGAAAAGCTTATTTTTAAATGAAAATTAGAAATTTGATTGCCTTTGCAACTAACTGGAAAAAAAAGTTCAAGTACTACAATTATAAAAACTGAAATAAAGCAAAATAGAAATATTAAATAATAATAATGACAAAAGCACGTGACAAAATTACTGAAATTTAAAACGAAACCTGAAAATATAAAAAGAAAATAAAACCAAATTTAATGCTTATAAATACTACTAAAATAACACTGGTCAATATTTGCTTACTCATTTTTACCGCATATTTTTTACCTTTAGATTATCTTTGCAGTTATGTAACGTTCACCTTAAGTTAATCTTGAAAAAAATTTAATTTTTAACAAATCTCAAAATGAATATCGATTTGTTATACTGTACATTACAGTGTTGTGATTCCTACGTTTACTTGTAGAACTTAAAACGATTTCTTTATTTTAAATTCATGTAGTCAAAATGGTAACAAATAAGGTCCTATTATTTAATGCATTATAACATTAACTATGGATAATACATTTTTACAGTATTTATTAATCTTTGTTAACATTATTAAACGGTTCATTTTTAGTTTATGTTAGCTTAGGTCCATTAAATAATATTAACAGATATTAACAATAACATTACCATTAACTGAGATTAATAAATGCTTCAGGAGTATATTTCATTTTTAGTTCATGTTTTAGTTCAAGTAATGATAGCAAAGTAATGGAACCATATTGTGAAGTGGGTAACATTTTAGATAAGGGAACACTATTCACAATTAACTAGTTGCTTACTAGCATCTTTGTACTGTTTATTAGAACTTATAAAGCACATATTAATGCTATTAATATTCTGGATCCTTTAATCATACCCCATACCTAAACATAACTGGTTCCACTTTACATTAGGTGGCCTTAACTACTATGTACTTACATTTAAATTAATAACTTGATACAATGCACTTATTACATACATGGTTTCACATTATACTTTTGCATGTAATGACATCTGCAATTTCTGTAATTACATTTATAATTATGCCTTAACCCACCCTTAAACCTACCCATACCATCAAATCGGTCCCTAACTTTTTTTTATGTAAGTACGTAGTAGTTAAGGTCACCTTAACTGATATAAAGTGGGACCACATAACTACTACAACAACTACCTTACTTACTATCAGTAAGCAGAAAAATAATAGATTTTTGAGGGAAAACTCTTGATTAATAGTGAATATGTGTTCACTACCCTGAAGTGATACCAACAAAATAATGTAGAATTTCAATATATGCCATTTATCAGCCATGAGATGGATATAATTACATGCATCCAGAAACTCTCAGTGATGAGACTGTGTAATGTGTAGGTGTCTGACTGTTGTTGCAGAGCTTCAGCTCCACTGACACAGCAGAAACACACTGAAATACACTGAGAGGAGGAGCGTGTGTGTCGTCACCAGCAGTGGCGTGTCCACAAGGGTGGCACGGGGTGGCAACTGCCACCCTTAAAATGAGCTTTGGTTACATACAGGTTTAAAATCATAACAATAAATAGTTTGATAGCTATGATACTGTTTTTAACATCAAATATTTTCACAGCTATGACAGGAAACACTGGCATCTAACAATGCCTTGGGAAAAAATCAGTTAATCTTAAAGCATATGCATAAACCCAAATAGGAAATTAAACAGTTATCGAATAAGCATGCATCTTATTCTGTGTTCTAAACTCCTGAAACATTGGTGCTTCGTATTTTAGAGCAGTCACTGCAATTAAGAAATAAATGAATCAAATCTGTATGTGCGTGTTTGTGTGAAAACCCCCTTTGTAATTGTTAACATTTTCATAAGTAACTGTAGGCTAATTTAATTACACTTTTTTTCTCAGTAACTGTAACAGATTGCACTTACATTTATTTTGTAATTAAATTACGTAATTCTGTTACATGTAATTAGTTACTCCCCAACACTGGTGTTGAATATACAGAATATATGGGGAGTACAAACACTGATCTATAGTTGCCACCCCTCATTCTGCTCTTGCCCCCTCTTTTCCACCCCATGTATAAAATCCTCGACACGCCCCTGGTCACCAGTCGTCACTCCCCTCCGCTTCTCTCTCTCCCCCGTCCTCAAACACACTCAGACCTTCCAGTCCAGCAAACCGCCTCCCTCTGTCTCTCTCACACACAAACACACAGCCGCAAGCGAACGACTGTAATCCATTGATCTGCTCTCCACAGCAGCGTATGCAGAGCAGGAGCAAAGAGAACCAAATCCGCACCGCTCTCATGCAGCGCTACATACTTCCTCTCCTCCTCATCCTCGGGGTGAGGGACGGACTCGGGACCCCTCTGACATCCAGCCCCGGCCCTACCGAGGCCCCCAGCGCGCCGCCGGACCCCTGCGAGGGCAGACCCTGTCTGAACGGAGGCGTCTGTAGTCGGGTGGGAGAGATGGAGGAGAGTCCGAGCACACAGATGCAGACTGACTACTGGGCTTATGCCTGCATCTGCGGACAGGGCTTCACTGGACAGAACTGTGAGGTGAGAGCAGAGTCGTGTTGGTGTGAATAAACGATCATAATCGTGTGTCTGTCAAAGGTCTGCAGGAGCTCTTGTGCTGTCGGTGAGATGTGAAGGAGAGTGCTACAGTACGTTGCTGTGGCAACAGATAGGAGAAGAGGAGAGGCGGCTCTGAGTGTGTGTGTGTGTGTGTGTGTGTTAGAGGTAAAGATCACAGCATTAATGTTTGTCTTGCAGTATCTGCGGTATGTGCGGTGTATTGATACACAAACACAGCAGAAATCATTCTCAGTCTGTCACCTTTTTGATTCATATTGCAAGTATGCAGCGTTGACCTCCTTGCATGCGGTTTGTTTTATAACAAACCACTATGGGACACTGAGGCTTTCTGTGATGGGTGATGCAAGCTTTATTTCAACCTCTAGTCAGGTGCAATGTGGTGTGATGATGGTCCAATCTGCATCACTAAAAAAAAAAGAAAGGAGAAAAAAAAAATCTTTAATCAATATATTTCTTGTTTTGCAGGAAAAATCTATACTTAAACAATAAACATTTACATTCAAATAATAATATTAAACATACTAATAAAAATGAGTTACTTGCTAAATTGTTTTCACAGAAAATATCTTTAAAATATTTTTATTTCTGCATATGATTGTTTTTCTTCTTAGTAAGAATAAACCTTTCTAAATGTTAGTTTTATGTGGAAAACAAGAAACTTTTACAATGATATGTATCCAAATATATTTTCATATCATTTATATGAATATAAATGTATTCACATAAATACATGTAAATATTTTCAAAAATATATGCTGTATGTGTGTGTCTTTATATATACATAATAAATATACACAGTACACATTATGTAAACAAAAACTTTTATTTTGGATGTGATTAATCGCGATTAATCATTTGACAGCACTAAATATAACACTATATTTTATTTATTTATTTTGCAGCTCATGCTCATAGATAAATTGCCTTAGGGAAAGTGTGAGGGTATTAGCCATAGATTTGTTGTTTATTGGCTGTGGACGCACATCAGCGTTAATACACTAATGGGAACAAAGCCTGAATGTGAGTAGCACAGCTAGACACAGTTAGGGCTTCTGACCTAAATAACACCAAAGCTTTGCTGGATCCAGAACAGAGATCCACAGAAGAGCTGCCTCACTGTGCGCGCATGTATATCCACTGGACAACAGGTGACACTCATTGTTAACTCAAAGTTAAGACATTGTGTGCGGTTGCATCTCATTGGTGTTTACTCTCAAGTGTGAAGAAGATGCATCTTTCTGCATGGACCCACAGTGTCCTGTCCTTTCCTCAACCTTAGTTAAAGTGTGCGTCTAAACCTGTGTCCTGTGACGTCATACAGCTCATTTACATCTCCCCCAATGCAGCCAGAAAGGATGCTGCTGCGTGATTGGTTTATGCACTGACAAGGTTCACCGCGATTGGTCGGCAAGGCTTGAAGTCATTGTGATGTCACTCAGTGTTCCATTTCTCCAGGCAAAGCTGGTGTTCTTCAGTCACCCTGTAACGAGACAGCCATTTTTCCAAACTTCATTAACTGCTGCTGACATGACTGGATGCATGTGATGCAGCAGAATCACATGTTTTTATGAAATTACTTTTTGTAAACACTGAGGAAAAGATTAATTGGAATGATTTTATTTAAGTTAGTAGCCTTTTTGCCCTTGAGGAGCTCACTTCACCTCTTAACCAGCATCTGACGCAAAGTGATTGTGTATGAGTCACCTGTCCTTTCTGATAACTCGTGTTTAGAAGGTGAAGGGGAAGGATGTATGTGTTTTTTGGATGTGCACAGTCACTTTTTTACTACAGTAGGTGGATGCATACTTAGAAACCGCAGATCTGTTTGCCGGTCATATCGCTAGGGATGATTATTTTAAGGGTCGTCATGTTTTTTTTTTCCTCTCCTCTTTGGTCTTTTGGCTTTGATTCCAGCTTGTTAAGCAGCAACGGGGATTCATTAATATTAAAGAGAGTGCTGGACTGACCATTGTTTCTACAAAGCTTTCATCTTTGAAAAATTGAAGACTCACACTAGTTGTATGGAGACTTGTAAGCCTGTAAGAGAGTGAGTCTCATTAAAGTAGGGATTTGCGGGTAGAATAAATTAATAAAATGAGAATTGAAGGGGTGAAAGAATAGATAGATATTTTGGAGGACATCAAATGAGGTACATATAGAGAGGGACATTCAGGAGAACAGAGAGCTGAGAGAGCACTAAATATGGAGGACATTAAAAAAGTTGTTATTAAAAATTGTTCTCTTTTATGTTGTTCCAAACCTTCATGACTTTATTTCTTCTGGGAAACACAAAGGGAGATATTTAGCAGAGATTAATGCACACTGCTCTTTTCCAAGCACTAGATTTAAATGTGAGCAAATGAGAATGAGATTAGAATTTTTTTTCAACGATGATTTGAAATTGAGTGCACACGTCAAATGAACTACTTTTATGATGCTTTTGGAGCTTCACTATGGAGCCCCGCACATGACATGAAGGGGGGAAAAAATAGTAAATCGTGCGCACAACATAATTCGTTCCCTCGTTTTACTAAATCGTGCGCACAACTTACTAACTCATTACCTCGGTTTAAATAAATCGTGCGCACGGCACGATATAATAATTTGTTCACTCGATATGATTCAACTTGTGTGTGTGATTTAGTAAAACAAGGGAACAAATTATGTCGTGCACACGATTTAGTAAAACGAGGAATGAATTATTATATTGTGCGCACAATTAAAAATTTTTTCCTGAATGTCATAGGCGGAGCTACATATTGCACAGTATTACCACTCATTTTTGGCAGAGTGCACCCTAGAGCTTTTTTTTCTTGCAATTGCAAGTGTATATCACGTAATTTCAAGAAAAAAAGTTAGAGAATTGCGAGACGTAAACTTGCGATTGTAAGGAAAAAAATCAGACTTGTGAAATAAAAATTTGCAATTACCTTTTTATTACCGTTTTACTAAATTGAGCAGACAACTTACTAACTTGTTCCCTCGTTTTAAATAAATCATGCACACAATATAATAATTTGTTCACTCGATTTGATTCAACTAAAACATGGCCACAATTTAGTAATGTTGTGCACACAATTTAGTAATACAAGGGAACGAATTATGTTGTGCACACGATTTAGTAAAACGAGAGAAGAAATTATTATATTTTGCGTCCCGCGCCATAACAATTCCCCCGGGGGGGGGGGCGCCCTGGAGGCTGGTACAGGACGAAGACACGGGAGGCCTCCAGGGCGGATCAGGGAGTTCAGGAGGCCATGGCGGATTCTGAGGTGAGGACAGGTGCCGAGAACCCCGGGGGCAGTGCCATGTCCATTATCGCCGATTGACACGCTGGAGCGGACTCTGGAGCGAGCTCTGGGACTGGAGCCGACATTGGAGCGAGCTCTGGTGCTGGAGCCGGCACTGGAGCGAGCTCTGGGGCTGGAGCTGACACTGGGGCCGACACTGGAGCGAGCTCTGGGGCAGGAGCTGACACTGGAGCGAGCTCTGGGGCTGGAGCACTTCCTGGGCTTAACTGGGGATCAGGAGCCCTTCCTGGGCTTAAAAAAAGTGAAAGTGAAAGTGACGTGACATGTGGCCAAGTATGGCAGGGGCCCTTCCTGGGCTTGCCACATGAACGCTTGGCTGACTTGACTGGGGAACTGCCAGCTGCCTTGGGTGAATCGCGGACGGCGGCGGACTGGTTCTGGCTCGGGACCGGACACTCCCCAGACACCGGAAGACACCTTCTCTCCAACACAGTCCAGTGGTGTCTGGGAGGTCCAAGGGGCGATGGGAGTTGGCCCCAAGCCAGAACAGGTGGTTTTTTATATGCATATAAACGTCTTCTGTTACGGAAGGAGACTCACACAGAGGATTAGAAAAATACAATATCGTTTATTTTCAACAAGGGGTGCAGATGGTTCGGGCAGGTGATTAATTGAGCTTAATATCAGTCTTTAAGGAAGATGAGAGTAACACCGTATTGGGTCCTCACAGGAGATCGTGGAAGGGAGACAGAGGACTGCACACACCTCAGTTGAAGAGTACACGGAGTTTTCACGGAGCTGATGACTGGAACGGACTAGGGAATGGAACACAGGAGAACACACTGGAGAAAACACAGCA